TGAGAAAAATAGCTGCTGGATTTGTTCTCATTGGAATTACGATGGTGACCCTCTGGGGAACAAGTTTTGGCTGATGACGTCGTTGACAGGTTTAGTCTATGGCTACTTGAACTCTGTGACCTTCGATGAACAGAACTCGTGGATGAGGGGGCAGAACTCGTGGATGAGGGGGCAGAACTCATGGATGAGGTTGCAGAACTCGTGGATGAGGGGGCAGAACTCGTGGATGAGGGGGCAGAACTCGTGGATGAGGGATGGAGTTTGGAAGAACTCAAGGATGAGCCTGAACTCTGTGACCTCCGATGACCATGTTTCTTGTCCCCAAATTTGACCTGAACCTCAGAAGTATCGAGTTTGTTGTCTTTGAGATGAGTGGACACGATGGGGTCATATGACTTTTCATTACTCCCAGGTGTTACTGGAGTGAGAGTTGTCTCATCCTGGTCATCATCAGGCTCGCTGTCGTCTCCGAAGAGAGAGGTGAACAACTTCTTCATCTTCGGATCTCTCATCCTTTTCTTCGACTCTTCTGGTTGGAAAAAGACAGACAGTAGGTCAGACAACATGGAGGAGACGAAGATCTTGAATAATAGTTAATGCAATAGGAAGAAATTTCGACACAAACTTTGTCAGTTAGGCCAACCCAAAATTGAAACGATGACATCATTTAGAACAATCTGGAAGGTGTTCAATTTAGCCTCTCTGTTGCCAGTTTAAATTATATTTTTTTAAACTATTCGGGGGCCCCATCCTATCTCTCTGTCTATCAATTCCACTTTCTATCTACCCCCCCCCCCCCTAACCTTTTCCCGCTCGCTCTCTCTCTCTCTCTCTCTCTCTCTCTCTTTCTCTCTCTCTTTCTCTCTCCCTTTCTTTCTCTCTTTCTCTTTCTCTCTCTCTCTCACTCTCTCTCTCTCTCTCTCTCTCTCTCTCTCTCTCTCTCTCTCTCTCTCTCTCTCTCTCTTAGTCATGCTTACGATTCTCTGTGTCATTTTGTTCGATTTTCTCCTACCTACATAACTAGACACGAGTCAAACAAGTTTTAACAAACAATCAAAAAGATAATCTTTACAGTATATCTCGCAAAGGACACCGATCTTATGAAATTGCGAGTGCCGTAAAAACAATTACAAAAAAAAAATAAGAAGAAAATAAGAGGGCACTGAACAGTTAGGTTTAACCATCGTACCCACCTTTCATTCGCCCTTCCATTTTTTCCTCCAATATAAGATCTGGTTTTTGAATGGTATCAGATACACGTAGAGCCGTTTACTCGTCTCTGTTTGCTAGCAAAGCCAGACGATACCAGTTTACTTCTGAAATAAAAAAGAAAAAAACCTATTTAATACTTTTACCTAAACTGGTGGAAAAAAATGTAGGCTCAAATATTTTTAAATTAAAAAAAGGTACGTACTTTAAACTTGAAAACTAAAATATACAGTGCACTATATAATCCCGTCTGGGATCCGACGTTGTGTCCTTGGGAAAGACACTTAACACGAAATTTGACAGTGAAAGAGAAAGTGAAAGATCTTGTCAGTTTGAAAGTATTTGAGCGCTTATAATCGGCTGCTTATACTGTATGCTTCCTGGGAAGCTGATAATACTTCTGAGAGTTAAAGGGTCTGTTTGAGTAATTTTATGTAAAATACAAATGTAGTGTAAAGCGCACAGAGTTTGCTGTTGAGCGGGGTTATGCGTTATACAAATGCTATTTATTATTATTATTATTATCATTATTATTATTATTATTATTATTATTATTATTATTATTATTATTATTATTATCATTATCATCATCATCATTATTATTGCTACATGTATATGCTGGTTGCTAAAACTGTCAAGTGCCGCAATATAGCTGTGGAAAGAATCGAAAAAGCATCAGAGATGTGCAGTTTTGAAAAAAAGATTAAAAAAAAAAATCCAAACCTTGCACTATCAGAGCCTCACATTTTTTAAAGATATCGAAACCTTTGGATTGCCAGTACCAAACAACAGAAAGATTCTCCTTACCAAAAACCTTGTTCCTACTTTTCCCATTATATTTTACAAACGAAGTAACGGGTGTTGGAGTCACACACATTATATAAAACTGCTTTTCAAAACTGTGACATCTTTACGCCTTTTATTGACATTGCAAAGTTGTTTTTTTTGACTGATGGAGCCCCAAAAAGGGAAAAACTAACAAACAAAAAAGACAAAAAAAACAACACCCAGCCCTCTCTTTCGGAAAAACAACAACAACAAACAGAAAACAACAACAACAACAACAACAACAACAACAACAACAACAGAAAGAAATTTGAAAAAGAAGTATCATTCCTGTATGACTGACACAAGGTCAGAATGTCTGTTGTACTCATCAGTAAAAAATCAGTGCTGTTAATTGGTCATCAAATATATGGATATCAATAATAAGTGCGAGTCTCTGACAAATTTTAGAAAAATGTGCGGCTCTGGTTCCCCCCCCCCCCCCCAAAAAAAAAGGAAATAAAAAAAAAATATCCGGTTGAGAATTCACTATAGAAGATTTCCTCCATGGGCATGGGATTTCTTTGCTTAGCACTTTATCTGGAGTTTGTTTTTTGTCCC